ACAGGCGTGCCCCACCACGCCCGGCTGACACATTGGGTTTTGCAGCTTGGGAGTTGCTGATGACCTTGACAGAGAAGTTTTGGTGGAACAGGAAGGGACGGTGAGGGAACAGGAAGTGAAGAATGGAAGTAGAAAGGGCAGAGTATTATTTCAGGACGTTTGTGGTCGAGGGGGAAAAAACAGACACAGGAGCGAGAAAGCCCGCAGAGGCAAGGAAAGGGAGTCTTCAGGGCGGGAGACACCCGTGCAGTGGGGAGCCTCGCGGCACAAGGACAGAAAAAAATCGCAGAAGATGTGGCTGAATCCATGGAGGAAAGAAGGACCTGAACCAGAACAGCTCAGAAAAGCTGAATTACGAAGCAGGTAACGGAGGGTCTCCCAACTTCAGGTCAGGAGGCAGCATGCCAGGTTACAGAGTTTGTCAGGATTTAGCCCTCTCTGCTGAAGTCTTTCCCTCTTCACCCAGACCCTAAGTAAACAAATGGACTGAAATGCCTGATTCTGCCCAAAAGCGTTGAAAGTAGGGTGAGCGCTGGGATCCTGGACAAATGCTCAACTGCCGCCAGGACGGGCCGATCTGGGTTCAAAGCTGAAAGAGCATGCGGCATTTCCTTATCCCTCCCAGAGTTAAGCAGGACTTAAAGCCCTCTTCTCTGGCTACCTGAGGATTAGCCATGTGTTTCTGCTATTACCCCTCTCTCCTGGGTGGACCTCAGAGGGCTGCAATGTACACAGCTCGGCCACTGCGCAGCGCAGCTGAGCACCAGGGGGACGCGCCTCTCCATCTGTTCCCCCACTGAATTCCAGCCTCTGCCCTCTCGCTGCGGGCAGTGCAGGACAGAGACAACTGCAGCCTCGGCTTCCAGCAGCTGCTCACACGGCGTCTTGGGTGGATGAGGGGAGGGGGGGAAATTACCGAGCTGATGTTAAGTGCTTTGCCACGAGGTATGGGGTTTTCCATCCACCTTAGAGATCCAGAATCATCAAGAACGTTATTGTTGATGCCTCTCCTATCAGAGTGCCACAGTGGATTTCAAATTGTACTCAGCTACTCTGAGGCGATTCAGGGTGTGAAACAAAAGGTTAGACTCTCACTAGATGTATTTAAATATGTGAAAAACTGCTATTAAAACATGTTTAGTCCAGCCTGGTATGGTAGTGCATGCCTGTAATCCCAGCACTCAGGAGGCCGAGGCAGGAGGATCACTTCGAGTGAGTACCTAGGAAGTTCAAAGCCAGCCTGAGCGGCATACCGAGACTGTGTCTCAAAAAGAAAAAAAAAGAAGAAGAAAGGAAGAAATTAAAAAGAAAAGAAAGAAAATGTTTAGTTCAATTCAAGATGACAGTAATGGTGCACACCTGTAACCCTAGCACTCAGAAGGCTGAGGCAGGAAGACTGCAAATTTGAACTTACCTTGGGCAACTTAGCAACTGAGTCCCTCTCTCAAAAATTTTTTTGAAAAAGGGTCAGAAACATAACTTGGCATGAAGGCCCTGGATTCAGTCTTCAGTACTGCCACAAAAGAAAGACCAGTCCATAAATCTATGAATGCACTAAATTTTCATTTCTGGTGTATCAAGACTTTAGTAGTGTAACAGGCAAACTAAATGTTTTTGAAAGGCAGGTAGTTTTATCATTATTCTTTAGAACATTTTAGATTCTTAGAGAACCTGAGTGGATGGGGCACAGAGCCCCTTTACCCTCTCCTGCCCCAGCACCCGTTTGTCATGTTATAAACACCCCACGCTGATCTGGCCACCCGCGGCCCTTGATGTGCCGTACTGACACAAAACAGCAGTCTCTGCTTCATTCAGATTGCCTTGGTTTTTACCTAGCAGCCTATTTTGGTCTCAAAATCCCATTTAGCACTCTACGTGACATTTAGGAAATATGTCTCCTTAAAGTCCTCTTGGTTATGACAGTCTGCCACAGTTTGCCTTGTTTTTGACCTGTGGGTTTGAGGAATACTCAGGGGTATTTTGTAGAATGCCTTGCCGATGGGATTCGTTTGACGTTTTTTTCTTGAGTACACCGGGGTTGTGGGATTTGGTGTGGGAGAACAAGAAATAAATGTCATTTTTATGACGCCATATCAGGGGCTGGGAATATAGCTCAGTGGTACAAGCACCTGTGTGGCAAGTGCAAGGTCCTGAATTCAATTCCCGGTACAAAAAAATAAATAAACAAAAAACATATAACACCATATCAGATAGATACTCTCAACATGATTTCTTTCTTTTTTTTTTTGAGACAGGGTCTTGCTGTAGTTCAGGCTGCTTTGAGCTCACTATATTTTATTTTATTTTATTTTTTGTCTTTTTGAGACAGGGTCTCGCTATGGAG